ACTGACCGGCCAACCATGTCAGCAGTTGTTTTCATGTTAGGGAATTATGATGCAGCAGTCCCTTCACCAAGACAGCCTGCATTTTTGTTACAGAAAACTTATGATGCTGGAGACCCATCAACCAATACAGAAGGAGCTAAGTCTATGAATGATGTTACATGTACTAGTGTACAAGCTCGCTAAAAGGCCTAGTCCACAAAATATTGGATGTTAAGCTACTGCAACTATAGCAGCCTGCGTCAAAATTATTCACTTGAGGCTTTTTGGTTGCTGCATTCACTTTGAGGCTTGAGGCTTAATTTCCCAACTCTGCATAATTTCCCTTTTAAAAAAAAATAACATGCGTGTGTATATGTAGTATAGAGGTTTATGCAAATTAGGAGCCCTCCCAATTTGAAGGATCTAGGAGGCCGTCTTGCCCGCATGTGGCCAAGGTCTCCCCCAATTAAATAGAAGTAAATCAATTACAATATGAACCTTGATGTGCTGGAACAATTCTTTTTTGGATTGATGATGCTGATGGATCGAATATTATTGCAAGGACTGAAAAATGGCCAATTTATAAAGTAGGCTAAATGGGGCCTAGCGTACAAAAACTAAGATCGTTCGACCCTCAAACTGACACTGCACTGGTTTTAATTTTACTCATCTCCTCAAACTCCCCTACTTTCTACAATTCGAAACATGCATAATTTTTTCCCAAGAATCTAGAAGGTACAATACTCCAACACAATCAGGTTTTACTTGACAGAAAGATTGCAGCAAAAAGGATTTAACTTCCTAACCAATGATGCTGATACAAGTGATCACATAGCCAAGGCGTTAGAGGTTTATTTTGATATCCTTTTTGTCCAATAAATTTGAAAAGAACATACCATTTGCCATAGTTGATTGGCTGAAAATTCTACTGATACTTTTACTTCTAAAATAGGAAGAAGTTGAAAGCCTAAGCAATCCCAACAATAATGCAAATTCAAATAAGTTAAAATCATCAACTTCGAATGTTGAGAATATTTCCAAAGGAGCTCAAAAATCCATCATGGGAGCTAGAGCTTCGGATTCTACAAGAGTTATGAAGTTCACAAAGGTCCTTTCAGGGACAACAGTCATATTAGGTATAAGGACTCTCTCTTTAAACTTCCCCCCTTTCCCTTGCTTTTCTTCTCTCCCACCACTCTATTCATGAAGGTTA